CCGGCCCTCGGGCCGTTGGGCCGGGCCGACCCGAGGACCTAGGGCTTCAGTGCAGAGCTCTAGTCTGAACGACGGACTCACAGGACTTTTAAACAAATGCAATTTCAGATAAATCCCATCAGTCTGGGAGCCTAAATCTAGAAGCTTTCTAAAAGACTAAGTATATGTATAATTTCTATAAATTATACTTCTATTGAAACCCATCACTGGTCTGAATGTGGGTTTACAAACAGTAAAACCCTAGAAAAGTGAACACAACAAAGTATATATAAAAAGATATTCCAGATGTTGGTCACTGGCTGCGGCTGCTCCCCCCTGGGCTGCTGGACGCTGCAACAGAAAGATAAAAATACCATCAGTTCTGGGACTTTTTAAAGGAAACACTTAGCTTCTACAACCTGAATAAAACCAACATAAAGCATATAATCACACATGTAAAGTTAATCTAAATCCATTCAATAGTCAAGCTGCAGAGTCTCTGCCATCTCCCCTCTGTTTTTCTCCGTGTCTGCTTCGTTGATGTCACTTTCACAAAATGCATTTGTAGTCCTGGACTTATTACACAAAACTTAAAATAACGTTTCCTCCCTTTCGAAAATAAACACGTTCTTGGTATTAAAATGCATCTTCATGGACATCATATGTGAAATCCATGGCACATAACAATCGGAATTAGAAAATAGCATTTTTAGCCCCGTTGACTTGCATTCATGTTTTTGTTCTTCCGGGAACCCGTGGTCTGGAAGTAGATGGGCATGACTTCGGCTCCCTATGGAGCACTGTCTGTCACCTATGACAGAATGTGGAATCTTGCGTTACCATAGTTACAGCTCAGGTGCATCGTTTAAAATGCTTTATTATTAAGGCTAGAACCTTTCAGACTTCAGTATAAGTTCCATCTCGAGAGAGTAGGACCTTTTCTCTGCGGTCTCTGTGTTTGCTGACTTTAGTCTTCCAGAGAGCACCTCTAGCAGGTAATACAACTACCCACAAACAACCTAGCCCAACATCTGACATGTTTAGACTTTTAGATGTATCTGAAGTGTTTCCTGTGCTTTACTGGGAGACTTTAACATCCCTCAAGGTAAACTGGTTTTATCATTTATATAAAATACACCTGCTGGAAAAAACAAAATAAACAAAAAACCCTTAAGCAGGTCAGATTACAGATAAACAGTCAAGATAAAACTACTTTGAATCTGAAATATGAGTTATAAACGTGTATTTCTATAACTAGACCTACATGCTATCTGCCGTGTACAGTAGTGATGTCTGGTGAAGGGACTGGTCTTTATTTCTGCACCAGTTTGTCAGAAATAGAAATAAATGCCACTTTTCATCAGTGAATAAGTTATAACTTTAATAACATTAAGTGAACAAACTATTTAGACTTGTTTACATTTTAAAATGGATCCATCAGCTAATAGAAGAGTCATTTGGCTTGATTTAGCAAACAGAAAAGTCAAGAGGCTCAACTGCAGGTTATCTTTATGTACGTATTGAACTTCTAAGTAACGTATAGTTTTTGTCACGTTGCTCTTTGATTAAACACTACCAGGAAAGCTGAAATCTCTGTTTATATTTAAAACCTTTACTGCTATATGAGCATCAAGACCAAAGAGAAATGTATTTGATGTCAAACGGTTTGTTATTTGTCTGAAGAGGATTGTATCATAAAGTTCTGATATCTTTTTATTAAATATATTTCTACGTCATCAAACATCTGGTCTCTGATCCGATCATTCTCATGCATATGAGGTACACCTGATGATGGCTCCTTTTATGTTAAATCACGTTTAGAGGGACAGGATGACAGAATTTAAAATGCAAACAAAAATAAATCTTTTAAAAAGTAATGAAGTTATTGAATATAACATAATATGTCAAGTTTTTCTTCATTTGTACTTTACTTATTTTCTTCAGGTCTACTTTTCACTTTTACTTCACTCATTTTTAAAGCCACTATCCGCACTTCCTACTTCACTACAATAGGGAGCCTATGACTCCTCCCTTTCCGGTCGGCTCACGGGTCCCCGGAAGAAGGAAGTGCAAGTCAACGGAGCTAAAACTCTATTTTCTAATCTGCTTTGCCTTACGTCCTGGATCGCACACATGTTGTACTTCAATTTAAATGACATCCAACAATGCGTGTTTCAATCATCCCAGTCACGTACTTAGAAATGTATCATCTTGTAAATGTTCGATGTTAGCGTGACTATAAATCCGACATCGACATGTTGCATGTATGACGTCACCACAGAGTCTCTGCCATCTGCCCTCTGTTTTTCTCCGTGTCTGCTTCGTTGATGTCACTTTCACAAAGTGCATTTGTAGTCCTGGACTTATTACACAAAACTTAAAATAACGTTTCCTCCCTTTCGAAAATAAACACGTTCTTGGTATTAAAATGCATCTTCATGGACATCATATGTGAAATCCATGGCACATAACAATCGGAATTAGAAAACAGCATTTTTAGCCCCGTTGACTTGCATTCATGTTTTTGTTCTTCCGGGAACCCGTGGTCTGGAAGTAGATGGGCATGACTTCGGCTCCCTATGGAGCACTGTCTGTCACCTATAACAGAATGTGGAATCTTGCGTTACCATAGTTACAGCTCAGGTGCATCGTTTAAAATGCTTTATTATTAAGGCTAGAACCTTTCAGACTTCAGTATAAGTTCCATCTCGAGAGAGTAGGACCTTTTCTCTGCGGTCTCTGTGTTTGCTGACTTTAGTCTTCCAGAGAGCACCTCTAGCAGGTAATACAACTACCCACAAACAACCTAGCCCAACATCTGACATGTTTAGACTTTTAGATGTATCTGAAGTGTTTCCTGTGCTTTACTGGGAGACTTTAACATCCCTCAAGGTAAACTGGTTTTATCATTTATATAAAATACACCTGCTGGAAAAAACAAAATAAACAAAAAACCCTTAAGCAGGTCAGATTACAGATAAACAGTCAAGATAAAACTACTTTGAATCTGAAATATGAGTTATAAACGTGTATTTCTATAACTAGACCTACATGCTATCTGCCGTGTACAGTAGTGATGTCTGGTGAAGGGACTGGTCTTTATTTCTGCACCAGTTTGTCAGAAATAGAAATAAATGCCACTTTTCATCAGTGAATAAGTTATAACTTTAATAACATTAAGTGAACAAACTATTTAGACTTGTTTACATTTTAAAATGGATCCATCAGCTAATAGAAGAGTCATTTGGCTTGATTTAGCAAACAGAAAAGTCAAGAGGCTCAACTGCAGGTTATCTTTATGTACGTATTGAACTTCTAAGTAACGTATAGTTTTTGTCACGTTGCTCTTTGATTAAACACTAACAGGAAAGCTGAAATCTCTGTTTATATTTAAAACCTTTACTGCTATATGAGCATCAAGACCAAAGAGAAATGTATTTGATGTCAAACGGTTTGTTATTTGTCTGAAGAGGATTGTATCATCTTCTTTAAGTCCTGATATCTTTTTATTAAATATATTTCTACGTCATCAAACATCTGGTCTCTGATCCGATCATTCTCATGCATATGAGGTACACCTGATGATGGCTCCTTTTATGTTAAATCACGTTTAGAGTGACAGGATGACAGAATTTAAAATGCAAACAAAAATAAATCTTTTAAAAAGTAATGAAGTTATTGAATATAACATAATATGTCAAGTTTTTCTTTATTTGTACTTTACTTATTTTCTTCAGGTCTACTTTTCACTTTTACTTCACTCATTTTTAAAGCCACTATCTGCACTTCCTACTTCACAACAATAGGGAGCCTACGACTCCTCCCTTTCCGGTCGGCTCACGGGTCCCCGGAAGAAGGAAGTGCAAGTCAACGGAGCTAAAACTCTATTTTCTAATCTGCTTTGCCTTACGTCCTGGATCGCACACATGTTGTACTTCAATTTAAATGACATCCAACAATGCGTGTTTCAATCATCCCAGTCACGTACTTAGAAATGTATCATCTTGTAAATGTTCGATGTTAGCGTGACTACAAATCCGACATCGACACGTTGCATGTATGACGTCACCACAGAGTCTCTGCCATCTGCCCTCTGTTTTTCTCCGTGTCTGCTTCGTTGATGTCACTTTCACAAAGTGCATTTGTAGTCCTGGACTTATTACACAAAACTTAAAATAACGTTTCCTCCCTTTCGAAAATAAACACGTTCTTGGTATTAAACTGCATCTTCATGGACATCATATGTGAAATCCATGGCACAAAACAAGCGGAATTAGAAAATAGCATTTTTAGCCCCGTTGACTTGCATTCATGTTTTTGTTCTTCCGGGAACCCGTGGTCTGGAAGTAGATGGGCATGACTTCGGCTCCCTATGGAGCACTGTCTGTCACCTATAACAGAATGTGGAATCTTGCGTTACCATAGTTACAGCTCAGGTGCATCGTTTAAAATGCTTTATTATTAAGGCTAGAACCTTTCAGACTTCAGTATAAGTTCCATCTCGAGAGAGTAGGACCTTTTCTCTGCGGTCTCTGTGTTTGCTGACTTTAGTCTTCCAGAGAGCACCTCTAGCAGGTAATACAACTACCCACAAACAACCTAGCCCAACATCTGACATGTTTAGACTTTTAGATGTATCTGAAGTGTTTCCTGTGCTTTACTGGGAGACTTTAACATCCCTCAAGGTAAACTGGTTTTATCATTTATATAAAATACACCTGCTGGAAAAAACAAAATAAACAAAAACCCCTTAAGCAGGTCAGATTACAGATAAACAGTCAAGATAAAACTACTTTGAATCTGAAATATGAGTTATAAACGTATATTTCTATAACTAGACCTACATGCTATCTGCCGTGTACAGTAGTGATGTCTGGTGAAGGGACTGGTCTTTATTTCTGCACCAGTTTGTCAGAAATAGAAATAAATGCCACTTTTCATCAGTGAATAAGTTATAACTTTAATAACATTAAGTGAACAAACTAGACTTGTTTACATTTAAAAATGGATCTAGTGTTGAACGAGTTCCTGATTAAAAAGAGCAAAGGCTGCTGAATAAACCCTCTGGGATTAATAAAGTACTTTTGAATTGAATAAAGTGATTTCTCCAGCTGTGCTTTTATAATCTAGATCTACACGCGGTGGTTTCTGGTCGCTGTAGTGATGCTGACTCTCAGCTGGGATCTGTGGCTGTTTCGTTCACATCTGACCTAAAACTGAGCAGAAGGATGTGAACAGAAATCCTTTTTGTTTCCATCTCCGTTTGATCCTAAAAGTGTGTTTCTGAACGAGCCGGATAAGAAAACGAAGCACAGCCTGATGTTAACAACACAATTGAAAGTTTCTCTTCATAGATCTGAAACCTGCTGAGACAAAAACATCAAGTATCTCCAGTGAGACTGCGTTCGGTTTAAAACATGAAGAATAAACTAAATTCACAACTGAAATCCAAACGTTTCACTTAATGAAGTAAAACACAACAATAATCTTCAGAAACTGGTGTTTAAACAGAGTGCTGGAGATGAAATGGTTCACATGTAACAGCTGTTGCTTCGGTCGCTGTGATAAACATGGATCCGACTGTAGAAACTGATCAGAGATCAGTTTGTTACCAGTAACAGTGGATGTGATGTTTCCTGTTTGATGTCTCTGATGCCATGATGTCTGACGTCTTGTGACGGGTTTTAAAGCTTCTTCTTCTCATCCTGTGTCACAGAACGATGGAGGACAACATGAACCTCCTGGAGAGTTTTGAGAGTTACATGGGGGACTTCTCCCTTCTGGACGAGATCCTTCAGGACTACCAGGCCTTTCCTTTTTCTACTCCACCTTCTCCTCTTCTTGAACATCCTCCCTCACCTCTCCTTCCTTCTATTTCTCCTCCACCTTCTCCTCTTCTTCGACATTCTCCCTCACCTTTCCTTCCTTCTTTTCCTCCTGCTTCACCTCCCCCTCCTCCATCTCCTTTTTTAGCTCCTCCACTTTCTCCTACTGCTTTTCTTTACCTCCCACCCTCTCCTCCTGTTGTTTCTTCTCTGCCATCACCTCATACTTCCACTGTCTCTTCTCTGCCTCCATCCTTTCTTCTTCCTGACATTCCTCCTGCTGCTCCTGTTTCTGCTCCTCATACTTCCACTGTCTCTTCTCTGCCTCCATCCTTTCTTCTTCCTGACATTCCACCTGCTGCTCCTGTTTCTCCTCCTCATACTTCCACTGTCTCTTCTCTGCCTCCATCCTTTCTTCTTCCTGACATTCCTCCTGCTGCTCCTGTTTCTGCTCCTCATACTTCCACTGTCTCTTCTCTGCCTCCATCCTTTCTTCTTCCTGACATTCCACCTGCTGCTCCTGTTTCTGCTCCTCATACTCCCACTGTCTCTTCTCTGCCACCGTTCTTTCTTCTTCCTGGTACTCCACCTGCTGCTCCTGTTTCTGCTCCTCATACTTCCACTGTCTCTTCTCTGCCACCATCCTTTCTTCTTCCTGACATTCCACCTGCTGCTCCTGTTTCTGCTCCTCATACTCCCACTGTCTCTTCTCTGCCTCCATCCTTTCTTCTTCCTGACATTCCACCTGCTGCTCCTGTTTCTCCTCCTCATACTTCCACTGTCTCTTCTCTGCCACCATCCTTTCTTCTTCCTGACATTCCACCTGCTGCTCCTGTTTCTGCTCCTCATACTCCCACTGTCTCTTCTCTGCCTCCATCCTTTCTTCTTCCTGACATTCCACCTGCTGCTCCTGTTTCTCCTCCTCATACTTCCACTGTCTCTTCTCTGCCACCATCCTTTCTTCTTCCTGACATTCCACCTGCTGCTCCTGTTTCTGCTCCTCATACTTCCACTGTCTCTTCTCTGCCTCCATCCTTTCTTCTTCCTGACATTCCACCTGCTGCTCCTGTTTCTCCTCCTCATACTCCCACTGTCTCTTCTCTGCCACCATCCTTTCTTCTTCCTGACATTCCACCTGCTGCTCCTGTTTCTCCTCCTCATACTTCCACTGTCTCTTCTCTGCCACCATCCTTTCTTCTTCCTGACATTCCACCTGCTGCTCCTGTTTCTGCTCCTCATACTTCCACTGTCTCTTCTCTGCCACCATTCTTTCTTCTTCCTGACATTCCACCTGCTGCTCCTGTTTCTGCTCCTCATACTTCCACTGTCTCTTCTCTGCCTCCATCCTTTCTTCTTCCTGACATTCCACCTGCTGCTCCTGTTTCTCCTCCTCATACTCCCACTGTCTCTTCTCTGCCACCATCCTTTCTTCTTCCTGACATTCCACCTGCTGCTCCTGTTTCTCCTCCTCATACTTCCACTGTCTCTTCTCTGCCACCATCCTTTCTTCTTCCTGACATTCCACCTGCTGCTCCTGTTTCTGCTCCTCATACTTCCACTGTCTCTTCTCTGCCACCATTCTTTCTTCTTCCTGGTACTCCACCTGCTGCTCCTGTTTCTGCTCCTCATACTTCCACTGTCTCTTCTCTGCCACCGTTCTTTCTTCTTCCTGACATTCCACCTGCTGCTCCTGTTTCTCCTCCTCATACTCCCACTGTCTCTTCTCTGCCACCATCCTTTCTTCTTCCTGGTACTCTACCTGCTGCTCCTGTTTCTCCTCCTCATACTTCCACTGTCTCTTCTCTGCCTCCATCCTTTCTTCTTCCTGACATTCCACCTGCTGCTCCTGTTTCTGCTCCTCATACTTCCACTGTCTCTTCTCTGCCTCCATCCTTTCTTCTTCCTGACATTCCACCTGCTGCTCCTGTTTCTCCTCCTCATACTCCCACTGTCTCTTCTCTGCCACCATCCTTTCTTCTTCCTGGTACTCTACCTGCTGCTCCTGTTTCTCCTCCTCATACTCCCACTGTCTCTTCTCTGCCTCCATCCTTTCTTCTTCCTGACATTCCACCTGCTGCTCCTGTTTCTCCTCCTCATACTCCCACTGTCTCTTCTCTGCCTCCATCCTTTCTTCTTCCTGACATTCCTCCTGCTGCTCCTGTTTCTGCTCCTCATACTCCCACTGTCTCTTCTCTGCCACCATCCTTTCTTCTTCCTGGTACTCTACCTGCTGCTCCTGTTTCTCCTCCTCATACTCCCACTGTCTCTTCTCTGCCACCATTCTTTCTTCTTCCTGGCATTCCACCTGCTGCTCCTGGTTGTGCTCCTCATACTCCCACTGTCTCTTCTCTGCCACCATCCTTTCTTCTTCCTGGTACTCTACCTGCTGATCCTGTTTCTCCTCCTCATACTTCCACTGTCTCTTCTCTGCCACCGTTCTTTCTTCTTCCTGGTACTCCACCTGCTGATCCTGTTTCTGCTCCTCATACTTCCACTGTCTCTTCTCTGTCTCCATCCTTTCTTCTTCCTGACATTCCACCTGCTGCTCCTGGTTGTGCTCCAGTCTCTAACCCAAAGTAAGTTTTGACTTGACCGTTTCAGAATAAAATATCTATAAAGTTGACCACATTCCCAGGATGTAGATGCTGACAGGTTTGTGTTGTGTTCTGTCTCTACAGTAAGAGAAAGCGTGAGCACCAGCAGCAGGACCGCCCCTATGTGAAGAAGCCACTAAATGCCTTCATGATCTTCCTGCGGGACCAGAGGCCAAAGGTGGTGGCTGAGCTGAATCCGAAAGACAGCGCTGCTGTCAACGCCGTCGTAGGCCAGAGGGTAAGTGTGTTTGCGACAGAATGATGATGGTTTTGCTTCCGTGGATTATTTTTCACCAACAGCTTGTCTCACTCTCTTCTGTTCACAGTGGAGGGAACTGTCTCCTGAGCAGAGGAGCATCTACTTCGACCAGGCTCACGAGGAACAGAGGCTCCACATGCAGCAGCACCCGGGCTGGGTCCCCAACTACAACCCTGTACGTACACTCTGCTCACACACCATGAACTCACACACCTGATGCTGATGAACACTTACTGATATAAAACTCTTGTGTGTGTTTTTGGGACCAGAAGGCAAAACGCGTTAAGAAGGAGCCAGCCGCCAGCTCTGCAGGTAAGAAACATTTGTGTGGATCATTAGATGTGATGATGTCACCACAGCTTGACTGTTGAATGGATTTAGATGAACTTTACATGTGTGTTTGTATGCTTTATGTTGGTTTTATTCAGGTTGTAGAAGCTAAGTGTTTCCTTTAACAAGTCCCAGAACTGATGGTATTTTTATCTTTCTGTTGCAGCGTCCAGCAGCCCAGGAGGGAGCAGCCGCAGCCAGTGACCAACATCTGGAATATCTTTTTATATTTCCTTTGTTGTGTTCACTTTTCTAGTGTTTTACTGTTTGTAAATCCACATTCAGACCAATGACCACACACACACACACACACACACACACACACACACACACACACACACACACACACACACACACACACACACACACACACACACACACATGCACACACACACACACACACGCTGACACTCACACGCATCACGCACACACACACACACACACACACACACACACGCACTCACGCATGCACACACGCACACACACACACAAGCACTCACGCATGCACATACGGACACACATGCACACACGCACACACACACACGCACATACGGACACACATGCACACACGCACGCACACACACACACACACACGCACACAAACACACACAAACACACACACACAGACTTACACACACACAGATAAACGCTAATTCTTTGTGGGACAGGGTTTGGGACTAGGGTGAGAGTGGGATGGGTGAGGTTGTCAACCAGCAGCCTCGCCCTTCAACCACCTGCTCTGACCCTTGACCTGTCCTCTTAGTTTTTGCACCACAGACACGTCACTTTTTTTTTCTTTCTTTTTCTGGAGGGTGGGGACAATGGTAAGTTGGGAATCTGCTATCTGCAACTAGTAGGATTCCCCTGTCAGGACACCACCTCCCCTTTCTTATTGCACGCACACACACACACACACATCAAGCACGCCTGCACACACATCGCACGCACGCACGCACACATGCACACGCACACACACACATCGCGCACGCACGCATGCACACACACACACACACACACACATCGCGCACACACACATGCACACACACGCATTTTAGTAAATTACCTCAATCTGTTTTTTGTGGCTTTTTTCATTCCAGAATGGACCCTTGGACACCTGGAACCCTGGACACTTTGACACCTGGACCCTACGACACCTGGGACCCTGGACCCTCAGACGCCTGGAACCCTGGACACTGACACTTTGACACCTGGACCCTACGACACCTGGGTCCTTGGATCGTCAGACACTGGACACGTATACACCTGGAACCTTGGACCCTCAGATGCCTGGAACCCTGGACACTGACACTTTGACACCTGGACCCTACGACACCTGGGTCCTTGGACCCTCAGACGCCTGGAACCCTGGACACTGACACTTTGACACCTGGACCCTACGACACCTGGGTCCTTGGATCGTCAGACACTGGACACATGCACAAAAACCTTTTAATAAACCTTTTAAATGTTTTATCTTTGCTTAGTTTTTTGTTTTCTACACTTCAGTTCATAGTCAAACCTGAAGACTCGGCAATGAACTTGTTTTGAGTTAAAATTGTTACGATGGGGAGCCAAGAGGAGGTTAGGACCCAAAGTTGCAGAGAACCAGATGATGCTTAGTGGAGCAATAAAGTAAAAATCCTTTTATTAATGATCCGTCCAAAAATGCAGGGAGCCAAAACACAAAATCAAAGTCCCAAAATACAAAACCTAGAATCCAAAATGAAGATCCAAGATTAGAAAGGGAAACAAGCCAAAGGTGACAAATACAATAACCCAACCACAGATAGAGACACAGACAGGGTTATTTACACTGGGGCATGATGGGAGACAGATAGGGTGCAGGTGTGTGGGGAGAGAAACCAAGTAAAAGCAATTAACTAATCAGGGAGGAAACTAACATGACCTAAGAGTTAAAACCTAAAGACAAGAAAAGCAGCAACAATAACTAATTTTCTAAGGGGGAAAAAAAACTACAAAAACCGGTGGGAAAACTCACTAAAGAGACTAATAAAATGAAAAGCTGAACCTAAAAAAACTGCAGATGTCAAGAGTCGGGGTGAGTACTCCCGTCGCACATTCCATCTTTGAGTTGTTTGTCAGGAGAGGGAGGCGCCCAGCTGCTTCTGGTTAGCAATCAACGGCACTGGCTTCTTAAGGAGTTGGAGAACACACCTCGACATGGGATGATTACTACTACTCGGTAGATTCCAGCCGTCTAGTGTTGCAGTGACTTTGTACCTCTTGTGTTTTTGGCTTATTGGTCTCTGTGGATTTTTTGTGCTTACGCCTTCTTCAGGATTTTTGGAACATCTCTGGAGTAGAGACTTCTCAGGATTCAGTGACTCATCAGGAAACTCACCTTCGCCACATAACTGTCTGGACGCAGCTTCCCAGTGTTCTCCATCTCTCCAGTCGCCCCACTCCTCTGCTTCCCATACGCTCCCTCTCCTGGATTTACACACCTCGACTCACCCAACTCTCGACCTGCCCCTCCCTATTTCTCCTCATCTCCTTTGCCCAGTAAGTCTTATCTCTGCACCTCCTCAGTTAAGACTTACTTCTCAGGACTCACCTTATTTTGCTCTCCCCTCCTCAGATGCTAAGTACGGGCTTTACTCCATCCACTGGAAGCTCCAGTGCGCTTTTTGTTCCCGTCTATTAATAAATACCTTTTTTTGATCTTTATTACCTGTGAGTGTGTTGATTCTGCATGTCCTCGGTTAAACTCCTTCCCCAGACCATGTCAGAATCATCCCGCCAACCCGCTAACCCAGCAGACTCAACCCTCTCAGATATTCTTCAGAGAATGTCCCAACAGGAGCAGACATTACCACTGCTTATGGATCAGCTCAACGCAGCCCACAACCGTTACCAGCAGTTGGAGGCCCTGGTCCGGCAGATCCATGACCGGGTTACGCAGCCGCTGCCACAGACTGCAAGGTCGGAACCTCAAGCAGCCGCTCCTGTTGCTTCCGGACCGGGAGTTCCTGTTCCCACAGAGATGTCACATTTTCGTCCAGCCGTTTCTCCTCCCTCACAGACATTCAGCGGTGAGTTCGAGGAGTGCCACAGGTTCTTGCTTCAGTGCCGGCTTGCGTTTGAACACTCACCTGGAGCCTTTCCCACAGATTCAAGTAAGATTTTTTACGTTATTGGACTGCTACGTGGAAGAGCCCTACGGTGGGCGGAAGCTAAGAGCCATTGTGCTGCCTTTTTAGCAGGACCTTTTGATGAGTTTTTAGTGGACTTTACATTAACTTTTGGACAGACCGAGTCCGTGTCAGATATTGGGAAAAGACTCTGGAACCTGTCGCAGGGCCGACGATCGGTTGCAGACATGTCGGTGGAGTTCCGAACCCTGGCAGCTAGGACTTCGTGGAACGAGGAGGCATTGATGGCTGCATTCACGGAGGCCCTCAGTGTTCGTGTACAGGATCAGCTGGCGCTGTGCCCCGAACCTCAGTCTCTTGAGGGGCTCATTCGCCTGGCCATCTCCATTGATAAACGTCACCAGGAGCTACGGCGCCCCGCCAGCAGTGCCCGTCCAGCTCCCATTCCTGACCGAAATATGGCTGGCCATCGCTCCTTTTCCGAGACCACCACAGCTGATGAACCTATGCAGATGGGTCGCACTCTCCTCACCCCAGAGGAACGGGAACATCGTTTGAGGTCAGGTCTCTGTTTATATTGCGGGCAAACCGGACACTTTGCCAGAGCCTGTCCTGCTCTGGGAAAAGGGAGAGCCCATCAGTAAAGCCGGGGCTACTGGTGAGCGGGAATTCAGACTCTTCTAGCTCCCGTTGTTCTATTCCATGCACTGTGTATTTTAATTCTGAACATTTTCAGTTAGAAGCTCTGGTGGACTCCGGTTGTGAGCAATCTATGTTGGATGTCGGTTTGGTAAAGAGGTGGAATATACCTACCACCCGTTTGTCTTCCCCTCTCACGGTTTCATCTCTGGATGATCGCAGTTGGTCCACCATCACTCACCAGACCATCCCTCTGCAGATAAAGGTATCAGGTAACCACACAGAACTTCTGGCATTTTTTGTATTTCCCTCTCCCCAGTCTCCAGTGGTTCTTGGCCATTCCTGGTTGAAACACCACAATCCCCAGCTGAACTGGAGAACCAGTCAGATTGAAGGATGGAGTCCTGAGTGTTCTCTGCCTGCCTTCGCTCAGCCTCACCAACTCTCCAAAATTCCACAACCTCTCCTTCTGAAAAGATTGACCTCTCCAACGTCCCTCCGGCCTACCATGACCTCCGACAGGTATTCAGTAAGGACCGTGCCTCTTCTCTTCCCCCACACAGACCTTTTGATTGCAGCATTGAGTTGTTGCCCGGAGCCCCACTTCCCTCCAGTCGACTACATCACCTTTCCAGACCTGAGAGGGAGAGCATGGAGAAATATATCCAGGAGTCTCTAGCAGCCGGTCTTATCAGGCCGTCCACCTCACCATTGGGGGCAGGGTCCTTCTTTGTTCCAAAGACTCTAAGGCCATGTATTGATTACAGGGAATTGAACCAAATAACGGTAAAGAACAAGTATCCTCTGCCTCTGTTAACCTCCACTTTTGAACCCATTCAGGACGCCACCATTTTTAGCCACCTGGATCTCAGAAATGCGTACCATTTGGTGCGAATCAGAACTGTATGGTCAAAAACAGTAGATAAAAAAGTGTTATTTGTGAAAAAATGAATACAAACTTGTACATGTATAATAGCATTTTTAATAAAGCATTTTACCAACATTATGTTAGGTCATTACATATGCACAAATAAGCTGAATCAATGAATTTGAGCAATGTACTCAAGACCTAATGAAACTCTTTTGAATAACTTTATTTTGATTATTATTAAAATAAAATGTGTCCGTGGGTTAAAATTTTAAATTACTAATCTTATGATTGGATAAAATTTTAAAATGTATTTTACATCACCACTTTTGGTTTAGTTCAATATTTCTATATGTACAAAAACTGTATTTTAATAATCCCTTTATAGGTTGATTATCTTACCATGGTTGGCTGCGCTGCATATAGCAATCGGTCTGAGGGAGGAATCAGAATTATGGCTTACCCAAAGACGCAGAGAGAAGAAGAAAATGGTTGGCTCAAGTCAGCAGGAGCAACCTCACCATGGCCAGAGATCACCATAACAAAAAGCTGTGTGCAGTGAGTTTAACATGCATTCTCAAACGTTTTCTATCAAGGCTCTACATGTTCTGCTCTCAACTGCACAAGGCTGCAATTAAACTGTTAAACGTGGCAGGAAATAAACTAATACACCGCTCTACAGGCACATTTTGAGGAGGGACCATTTACTAAGCTTAGACAAGGCAAGGTGAGACTCAGGGCTGATGCTGTTCCAACCCTGTTTGTTCATCACCCTGAACC